GACAGATTTTTTTTCAAACAAAAAATAAAATAAATATATAGAATGAAGGTCTACAGAGAAGTTTGAATTACTGAATGAGCTACAATTGACTCTTTTTTGGTGAATACCTTCCGCAAACGTCATGTTATAGGACTAAAAATCTCATACGATTTGCATGTGTCTGGATCAAAATCGATTTTGAGGAAGAGTAGGGATAGTCTCAAATGTTCGAATCCTTTTTGGACTACTTGTATATAAAAGAGTAATGCAAAAGTTCCTATACAAATGTCGGTTCATTATATAATTGGCAAAAGCATGTATAGATAAACTCAAAAGTACTTGTACAGAATTTAGGTCGAAAGCTCTTTCTTACTGCATGTTTAGAAAAAGTTCTCTCATATCTTATCTTTCAGTAGGAGTTGTGATTGCTTTCAGTTTCTTTCATGAGTTGATGTTTATCTTTCTTGTATTAGACTACCGTCTGTATACTCGAATAAATCATGTAGAAAATACTGGAATTCTTTGAGATAATATTGAGATAACTCATCTTCGGATCTTTGACGATTTTAAGATTGATGTTGGTATTATTTTGCTTGTTGTTCGACTTTGTCATTGCTAATTATGAGCTCCGACATATTCGTAGAGCGGATATCTCGAGTCCAGTGTTTTATCCAGGATTTTTTCTCCGGAGGGGCGATTTGGAATTTCGGGGGGGCAAAAAATTATTTTCGGGAGAGCAAGCCACGTGTTTTTAGTACGATGATCGCAAGTTTCGGGGGGGGCGAACTCGATTTTCGGGGGGGCGCGGCCCCCCCCGGGCACCCGTCTGGATAAAACACTGCTCGAGTCATTGGTAGCCATCATTTCATCTAGTTTTATCAAAAATGGCGTCATTCGAATCTTGAAAACGTTTATTGGCTTTCCATCATTTTCATATTCTTCAGTTTTGACCTTATTTGTTACATCATTGTTTGCTAAATTGTTGATTGCATCATCTAATGTGATATCGTATGGTTTTCTATTAACTTTGCAGAGAATTGAACGGCATATCTAACGGGAAAAAGAGCAGCACCATACTAACCATAGCATTGAACAGAATGAAAAATACTGAATGTTTTTTTTCATTTTCACTACTTTGTGCTGTTATAATAAAACATGTGCGTCCTCCGCTATTCGATGCTACTCCATTAGCATGAGTTTATTCATTGGTGTTTTAAAAATATTACTTACTCATCCTTTGTCTATATTATGATTCATTATCTTTTCTATATATATATATCACAATATACAACACATAAGCAGTTGTTCTCGACAACAATACTTTAATAAATACTTTGGTTTTCTCTTTCTTACTGTTTTAACTCAATATTAACTGTATTGCAATTACTTTTATCAGTTAGTTTATTATTTTCATTTCACTAAAAATTTTGTATTATAATTTAGAATAAACTAATCCATGAATAAGCTAAAGATCAAAAAGTCTTTTAGGTCTTTTATTTGCATTGGCACATA